CTGTTAATCAATAGACCATCTGATTTTGACTTGAAAACAGCATATAATTATGTCCGTATAGTTCTGTCTTACTTGGCCTCCTCTCTCTCCTTTGGGTCCCACTGGGCCGAGCTCTCCAGGCAAACCAGGCTCTCCCTGAGACAGAACAAGACACAAAGAGAAAGACAGTTGTGTCATGTGTCCTTCTGTCAAGACTCTGTCAAGGCTGTTTTAAGTTTTACTTCCCGCACCCGTTCACCAGGAGGTCCTCGTGGTCCTGGAGGGCCTTCATCTCCCTGAGAGAGAGAGATAAACTGGCATTGGTGATGGGGTAAAAAAAATTGGATTTCCAACCCAGATCTTAAAGCACTAGTCACCCTTTACCTTAGGTCCTGGTTTACCAGGGAAGCCGTCCTGTCCGGGTTCTCCTCTTTGCCCCTAAACAGAAATACAAAATAATTAAAAACAGACTGCAGTGCAACAAAAACACAAATGAAAAGCTCAAAAAGCAGATCTGGCCTTTAGATGGGTTTAGAAATGATGAAGTTCTGCCTCCACAGAACTGAGTTCACAGTTTGCCTCATTAAAACAGCTCTAACCTTCTCGGCATCATTTCCAGGGAAACCATCTAATCCATCTTTTCCTGGCAGGCCCTGAAAAATAATTACCGTTAAAATCATTGCTTCAAGTTTCTTTGCACTAAAAATGAGTGTTGAGTTAATAGGGCAACAGGTTATTAAAGTGTGTGGACAGTATGTTTGAGTTCTTATGGTAATGTCATAGGGACTCACCGGTTTTCCTGGTTCTCCTGGTTTTCCTGAGAAGCCGATTTCACCAGGTAATCCCTATGTGAACAAACAGATGAATTTAATATCATCTGCTAATGTTCTGTGGCTGTAGTTCAGTTCGCAAATAAAAATGAACAGAAACAGTATTATTTTGTTGCATGTAAACATACTGGAGGTCCCGTTTGTCCAGGGCTCCCAGGAGGCCCAGAAGGCCCCTGAGGACCCTAAAAACAAAACACAGAAATAAAACTTGAAATGTTGACATTTGAAATTCAATTGCATTTTAATAGTTCTCTGCAATCAATGCATTCACAATTTATTTTACTAAAATGTACCAATATTATGTTATCATTATATTATTTGATCACTGCATGTGTTTTGCCTTCTGGTAACCACTAGAGCTCACTGTTACTCTGAAATGACTCGAGACTTTTTCATTAAGATAATAATGTTGAGAATGCCATATAGTCATAATATTCATACTGTTTTTGCATAGCATACTAAGTTTCCATATGCATGAAATACATAAGTGACCTACTATTTGTTAAAATATTATAGCAAGTCTGAAAAGTGTGTTATGCGTTTGTCTTTTCACTTATTCGATCGCTACAATATTTACTGTTGCATTCTGCTGTAAAATACTGTATACGGTAAGCAGTTTGTTAGTATTCCATTCCAAACATAAAACCACACTTGACAGGAAAAATAAAGGGCAAAGAGCTTGACTCAGGCTAAGAATGAATGTTCTGGTGGTTCTTACAGGTGGTCCTGGAAGACCATCAACTCCCGGCAATCCTGCATCACCTTTTTTACCCTGGAGAAACAAAGACGATGTCTCGTGAGTCTGTGTTAGGTAAAAGCAGATAAGGAATAAAGAGATATTTCATATATATATATATATATATATATATATATATATATAAAATAAAAATATATAGCCATCTTTATAAGAGCAGATAATATTGTAAGGTGAATCTGTTAAAATATGTTGAATAATTGTCATTTATATCGACTAAAGACTTATATCATACTAAAGAAAAAATATTTGTGTTAAGTTAATAGCATCTTTTTTTACTCACTGATAGATTTAACCTATTAACCTAAAGAAAAAAATATTTTGATTCAATTCAGATTTATTTATATAGCACTTTTCATAATAAATATAATTTCAAAGTGGTTTTACAGTTAATACTTCCTTATGAAATACAACGATATCTCATATATATATATATATATATATATATATATATATATAAATAATAATAATAAATAAAAATAATATAGTACTTAAAATAAATTAAAAGATAATAAGGAATATGGAGTAAGGATATATTTTATAAAGTAAAATAAAATGTAAAAATAAAATAATAATAATAATAATAATAATAATTCATTTCAGTTTTTTAATCACTTGGTCTGATTGATAAGATAATATCAGACTTTATTCTGATTCAAACACTTTTAATTTATCCATTTTTTTCACTATGGGGTTTCCCCCCCCCCTTACTTCAAATTTCAGTTAATCAGTCAAAATTTCCATACTAATAATAGACAAAAATGAATTCCATGTGAGAGGTCAGGAAGAGTTTATGACCTTTCTATCTGATGTCTTTAATGACTGAAACCTTCCATCCATTAGAGGCACATAAAAAGTATTGCAGTGCCCTCTGCTGGACAAACAGGTCAAATCACACTTATTGCAATTGTAAAGTAAACAACAATATTTAAGATCCTATGAGCGAAGTTTCCTTTCCTGTGTTGATATATTTCCAACAGAAACAGGAGGGGCCCGACATAGAAGGGCTCATATTTTCTTAATAAAAATAGCCCATAGCCTATATTTATGGTCACAGTCACAGACTATGATTTGCTACTTGCTATTGCTCGTCGGTTTTAGGGATACATTCAATCTAGAGAACACTTGCATATACATGGGCTCAAAGCTTTTAAACGTTGACTAAATGCCACAAAAAAAAAACAATTTTGATTGTATTACGGGTGGGGGGTATTACAGCGATAAGAGCTTAAAATAGAGTAAAAAAGAGAGAGAGAAACACTTTTTAGTGTCTCACTCAGGGCTTCCTGCCATTCTGCAGTTGTGTGTCATTCTACACTCACTCAAGCGCCACCCGCTGCGTTTCTGAGCTGAGCGCAAGATCTCTTTAAGAGCTCCTGACAGTGTTTTCCACTGGGACAGAGAGAACGAGGGCTACATTCAGAACACCTGCAACCCTGCTGAGCTACAACACTGAGACCCAGGAACTGTGCACCCAAAAAGAAAATTCACAATTGCAAGGACAAAAAGTCATAAAAAAGTAGTCAATATGACTCTATCTATCTATCTATCTATCTATCTATCTATCTATATATACGTACACGCACACACGCACACACACACACAAAATATATATTCCTCTGAGGGGCCTCTGAATAACATTGAAATTATTATTATTATTTTTTTATTATAAAATATAGAAATTCTGTATGGATAGTAAACTTAAAAAGTCTAGCAAGCGGTCATCTCAAAATAAAACTAACAAAAGTTATTTTTACATTTACTTCATAAAAATCAGTGAAGATTTCACAGCAAAATGACGCACGCGTGTTCCACAACCTGAAGAGGGACGCTCTTAGAATTATATTAAAAGGCATTTTTGCTTGTTAAAAACGTATAAACTATTAATCAGATAACAGAAGGCATGTAGTAAATCGTGTAAAACCTTTTTTTCAGCAAAGTTTTGATCATGTTGATCATTTTGAGGCCGTAGAAATTTGCATATCAATTATGATACAGTAGTCTTTATAGGGTGAAACTTATTTCAGGTAATAGCAAAGGCAATATTTCATTTTCCATTTAATATTTATATTTTATTTTATTTCAGTTAACAAAACGGTTTTTAAATGGCTTTAGTTAACTAACAACACTATGCTAAACATCTTTTGTGGATCACTGAAGAAAGTAAGTCATATTGATTTGGTACAACATTAGGGTGAGTAAATAAAGACAGAATTTTCATTTTAATACATACAACTTTTTCAGTTTGCTTGATTTTTTCCTCTTTTTTTTCCCTTTTTGGAGCTGTTATCCAAATACCATTATTATTTTTGGCAAGAAACAATGTTTTCAAGTATTCCGAGAACATTTTAATGATGCTGTCACCTCATCAGTTCGAGGGCATCTGAGAGCGTCAGGCCATTTGAACATCTCCTATCTCTCTTCCTAATGAGCTCCTCTCTTTAATCTGACCCCGCAGAGCTCTCAAAAGCACCAGAACATGCACTGAGATCCGCACTTTCCAGTCAGTCTCTATGGTTACCACAGAACATTTTACATCTCCATTAAAAACAGCCGAGATGGACTGTTACAATAGAATACAAATGTCCTACCCTTGGTCCATTCTCACCCAGCTCACCGGGCAAACCTGTAGGTCCAGGTGGGCCCTGAACAAAAACAGCATAAACAATAGGCTAATCAAAAACAGTGAAGTACACAACAAAAGCAGACAGAGCAGAAATTATGCTTCTTTTTCACAAACAGACCATGAATGGGATATTTATGATATACAATGACCCTAAAAATTATCTGGACACTTGAGCCTCATTAAAAAAGTCTCAATGTTTGAGTTTAACTTTGTCCATTCTGTTTGTCACAGAGTGGAAATGTGCCATATAAATCTATAAGTACATCCACATAAGTGCTTACACATTGACACAAACACAGAATCGAACAATATGACACTAATTACCTCACTCCTTGACACATTTCCAACCTATTAAAATAGCGCCATAAAGCCATTGCCAACCATTTACTTAAACTGATTTAATCTAAAATGTGCAGTTTAAAATAATCACTGAGTCTGTGCCCAGATGGGAGGAAAAGATCAGGAGCTTTTCTCAGAACTAACTTCACTTTTCTTCTTTAATATGCATCTTTAAAACAATACAACTTGTTTGAAAGAGCATTAAATCACAAAATGTATCTTACAGGAGGTCCAGGGGAGCCGTCCGCTCCCGGGGGTCCTCGTTCACCAGGAACACCCTGAAAACACAAACACACACCCAGTTATGAGTATGATCAACAGAAGCAAGGTTCAAGACTCATCTTCTCAACACTTACAGTCTCCCCCTTCAGTCCTGCCAGCTGAACCTGAGGAAAAACACAGATGAAGCAATGAGCATCTCACATCTGTTTTACAATGTGATCAAATAAGTTAATGAATCAAACGTCTTACCGCATCACCAGGTAATCCAGCAGGACCTCGTTCACCCTATCAACAAACACAGCATTGCATTTGACAGGATTTATTCAGCAGTTAAAATACCACAGTGATTTGATATTCTAAGTGGAGTTAAACTGGAGTGGAATTGTCTAATATTTGCAGTACAGACTAAGCAGTATTTGTCATTTCCTTTGGGAATAAGTTCCTGAAAGTGTGTGCGGGACGGCGAGTGAGCGATTAAATGATACAGCCTTGGCTGATTTTTTGAATGGGCGTCTTTATGGATGAGTGTGAGACATATGATACAAAACTATCATTTTCCAAGAAAGATATATGTGTTTTGAGGGTTTTATGGGAAATAAGGAAGAGTCAAATATATCTGAGTCAATTATCTAAGAAATACAAAAGGAAACATACAAATGCCTTCATATGGGTCTAGAACAAATTGAGGGTGAATAAAAAACTTGCCCAGATCTTTCAAAGCCGAGCAATGGGTGTCTCAAACAAGCAATGAGTGTCTCTTTACCTTTGCTCCTTTGACTCCACTTGCACCAGGAGCACCAGTCAGCCCCCTAGGGCCCTGGTTTTAGAGAAAATGAAAGAAAGAGAGGTCATTTAGGTAAAACGTATACTTAGACCTAAGCAAAACATGACACAAGCTCACATTAATATCTTCTTCATTCAGTGTGCATGCATGCTGCGCAAAATGGTACATGACAAATGATATACATTATATATGATATACATTATAAAACGCTCAGAATACTTACGTCTTTTCCTAGAAGACCTGGTTTCCCTGGGAACCCGTCTAAACCTGGTTCACCCTAAACAACATTTGAAAGTGAGACGTCATCGAATGGACAATTAATATTACCGTTCAAAAATGTGGGGTCAGTAAGATTTTTTCAAAGAAATTAATATTTTTATACTGCAAGGACACATTAAATGGATCAAAAGTGACAGTAAAGACATTTAACCGCATCACCAGGTAATCCAGCAGGACCTCGTTCACCCTATCAACAAACACAGCATTGCATTTGACAGGATTTATTCAGCAGTTAAAATACCACAGTGATTTGATATTCTAAGTGGAGTTAAACTGGAGTGGAATTGTCTAATATTTGCAGTACAGACTAAGCAGTATTTGTCATTTCCTTTGGGAATAAGTTCCTGAAAGTGTGTGCGGGACGGCGAGTGAGCGATTAAATGATACAGCCTTGGCTGATTTTTTGAATGGGCGTCTTTATGGATGAGTGTGAGACATATGATACAAAACTATCATTTTCCAAGAAAGATATATGTGTTTTGAGGGTTTTATGGGAAATAAGGAAGAGTCAAATATATCTGAGTCAATTATCTAAGAAATACAAAAGGAAACATACAAATGCCTTCATATGGGTCTAGAACAAATTGAGGGTGAATAAAAAACTTGCCCAGATCTTTCAAAGCCGAGCAATGGGTGTCTCAAACAAGCAATGAGTGTCTCTTTACCTTTGCTCCTTTGACTCCACTTGCACCAGGAGCACCAGTCAGCCCCCTAGGGCCCTGGTTTTAGAGAAAATGAAAGAAAGAGAGGTCATTTAGGTAAAACGTATACTTAGACCTAAGCAAAACATGACACAAGCTCACATTAATATCTTCTTCATTCAGTGTGCATGCATGCTGCGCAAAATGGTACATGACAAATGATATACATTATATATGATATACATTATAAAACGCTCAGAATACTTACGTCTTTTCCTAGAAGACCTGGTTTCCCTGGGAACCCGTCTAAACCTGGTTCACCCTAAACAACATTTGAAAGTGAGACGTCATCGAATGGACAATTAATATTACCGTTCAAAAATGTGGGGTCAGTAAGATTTTTTCAAAGAAATTAATATTTTTATACTGCAAGGACACATTAAATGGATCAAAAGTGACAGTAAAGACATTTATAATGTTACAAAAGATCTCTATTTGCAATAAATGCTGTTCTTTTGAACTTTCTATTCATCAAAGAATCCTGAAAAAAGTATAATGGTTTCCACAAAAATATGAAGCAGCACAACTCTTTTCAACATTGATAATAATAAAAAATGTTTGTTGCGCAGCAAATCAGCATATTAGAATGATTTCTGAAGGATCATGTGACACTGAAGACTGGAGTAATTATGCTGAAAATTCAGCTTTATCTTCACAGGAATAATTACATTTTAAATTGTAATAATATTTCACAATATTACTGTTTTTACTATCATTTTGATCAAATAAATGCAGCCTTGGTGAGCATAATAAAATTATTTTAAAAACAGTTAAAAATCTTACTGTCCCCAAACTTTTGAAAAGTACTGTATATGCAATATTTAATTGTATCATTTAATAATATTTAATAAATGTATTCTGCTTCCAATTGTGCAATGATAATTTCATGAAAGTCATCTTGATAAATTAATATTATAGTATAACACATATGCAATTTGCTCTGTACATATAGTGTTCTGTATTTAGGAGCACAATTAATTCTGATTACAATAGTATGTCACATCCAAAGTCCCTATTTTTATTCCCAGATTCTAATTTTATGTCCCATAAACAGCATACAGGTTTGGAATGACATCTTCATTTTTTGGATGAACTACTCTTTTAACTTTAAATTATGTATGCTTGTCTAGACAGGTGCTTTGATTTTAATACAGAAAACAGCAGCAGGAAACGGACTGACGGGATGGAAATGTGACTGTAACATGACAAAAACGTGCAATATCCACTATGCAGTGCCTGCTTTTTCAGGTCAGAAATTCAGGAAATATAACAGATGGTGGATGCGTTTATATGATGTATTTTGAATTCAAGGCCATTTGAGTTCAAATGAAAAGCCATTCTCAAAAAAAAGCATAATCTGATATTTCCTGTTTCAATGAACCATGCATTGGTTCTAACAATATATCCATTTGCTCCACTTGCACTGAATTACCAGCATTCTTTCTTAAAAGTAATGATTTTTTTTGCCAAAACTAAGCTTATTTTCCCCATGTTAAAACATTTAACATTATAAAATAGCTGTAAATAGTTCTAAAATATTGTTTGTTTGAGCATCCCAACCAGCCAAATACGAACATCGGCTCAACCAATGGCGTCAGTTTGGGGCGGAGCTGTCTGTTTGCCAACCAATGACAGACGAGGAGTGACATAAACCTGTATGAAAGCAATCATTATTTTAGCAGTTCCTTTTTGTGACACTAGTGGTGCAAATTTGCTTCATCTTTAACTTCGAAGTTTCAGGAAAGTCAAATTTGTCTTAAAAGCTCTCTGTGTGCGTGCGGGGGTGGACCGTCAGACAGACTGAAGAATGACGTCGATGCTCTACCGTGTCACACTGTTCTAAGACCCGTCTACAGCACAACGCCCCCACAGAACAGGATATACGGAGTCTGCATCAGCACTGAGACATCTGTTTGAGTTATTAGTCTGCCTGCATTCACTCTGTAGAAATAATCCCTCTGTAGTGTTTGGATCTGACAGGTATGTACAGTACTTTGGGCTCCATCCAAGTTATTCCAAAGCATCAAAACTAAAACAGGGGTGCTGACAAGGGGAAGACAAGCGGGAACATTGTCCCAGGCCTCTTAGTGGGCTGAAGGTGGTCTGCATTGACAGACTAAACTAGATTTTTACATTTTCTCAAGACGATGTGAGTGCTGTGCATGCAAAACCTCTGCTGCATGATTTTAGGAATCATTCACGTCTGTAGTACAAACAGTGCGGGACATTCCAATGTTTAATGCTTAATACTAACACTGAGCCTAAGCAATGATGTTTGTGGTAACAGTTGGTTATGATTGACAGGTGTCAGTCATCCCTTACCCTTTCTCCGGAAGCTCCTTTGTCTCCTTTAACTCCAGTGACACCCTGATGAAAAACATACCACATTCAACATATTACAAACTTCACAGAGAAGAACACTGGCCACACTACGATCTGTCCTGAACAGGTATAACACAAAATTGCAGATGCAGTCTTCATTTCAATTTGTTTCTACTGAAGTGATCATCTATTGAAGCCAGTTTCAACCTAAAAAAAAAAAAATAATTAAATAAATTTAAAAAATGCAATAAAATGCTAAATTAAAAAATGATAAAATAAGGTTATTGTGAGAAAAAAATTATGTAAAATAAGAAGTAAAGTCACAATTGTTAGATATTAAGATGCTTTTAAGAGAAATCAAGTTGTGATTGTGAAATATAAAGTAGCAATTATTGATAAAGTCATAAGTACATTTCTATTGCAATACTCTGAAGGCTTTCATAATCATCAGTGCATGGCTTAAACACACAGGTCATACTTACAGACGCCCCTTGAGCACCCGGTGCTCCAGGTGGACCAGCATCACCTTGGATACCCTGAATAAAAAAAAGGTCAAAAAGGCCAGATCATGTTAAAAACGACATGAGAACACCTAGCAATGTCAGAAATAAGCTTCTCACCAAAAAGTGATAAAACAAAGAAAATAATGCCGAGAAAATACCCACAGCAAACACAATGAAATCTACAATGACATACAATAGAGAGTTTACTGCATTATTTACTGCTGCTTTTAGATTCGATGTTGATTTGATTTTAAGTGACATCAACAAGACAATTAATTTTAAAGGTGTAATTTTAAACTTTTTTTTTAGCAGATATATCATATCTTAAATCATTTTTAGAATGACAACAGCCTCTTTTGACTGAAAATGGGCTAATATTGGGTTGGGGCTAATATTGACAATTACAAATACACTAGTCTAATCAAGCATATCCTTACTCTTCTGTCTAAAGGAGGTCTTACCTTTGGTCCGAGAGGTCCAGGTAACCCAGCTTCACCTGCAACTCCTTGTTCACCCTGTTCATCAATATGATTGGACATTAGACTGTAACTATCAAAATACACCTTCAACCACATGCAAATAAACTTTTCGTCACTCACTCTCTCTCCTTTATCGCCGTTTTTCCCACCCAGACCGGGTAAACCGTCTGATACCTAAAAGTTAAATGAATATCAATGCCACTTATAAACACATCTATGGAATCAGTAATGTTTAGACAAAATTGGATTATAAATAAATAAGTAAATAAAATATTCATTGTATACTGCACAGAATGAAGTAGTTATTTTTTTTTCTTTTCTGCTGATGTAATCAACACTGCCTGGAATTAAAACAAATCAATAATATCACAGCATCCACAAACCAAACCTAAAGGACAACAACAAGTCCAGCCCTATAGTATTTTCTGCTGAATATTCTGCTGCTGAATATTCAACTGTTTGGGGTTTTTTTTCAATTATTTTTTTATTTTTTTCATAATTCTTATAATCACATAATTCATCATCTAAACAGTTAAGACTTTTACATTGTTAAATTTATTTATTAATTTTTTTTTTTATATACGTATATATTTAAAATAAATTATAACTTATCTATTCATCACAGTCTCCAAAAAAAAGGAATAAAATACATTTAAAAAAATATTCAAATAGAAAACAAATTATTTTAAATTGTAATAATATTTCACAGTATTACTGTTTTTACTTTGGTTCTTTCAAAACCTTTTTCTATTACAGACCCCAAACTTTTGAATGGTAGTGCAAGTTAACTACAGATGCCATTTCATGTTGATTGCATGTACACAAGTGTGTCTTACTCTTTCGCCTCTTTCTCCTCTGGCTCCAGGTTCACCATGCTCGCCGCTGTCCCCCTGTAGAGAGAGACAAGATTTCAACATGGCATTAAAACAAGATGTCACATGACTTTGGACATGGCCACAAGTGGCCCCGAAACGTTTCATCCTTCAGCA